TATATATTATTCTAGAATAAGCTGTTATCAATTATAAACTTCTACTATATTACGTAGGCCTACGCGCTATAATATAGTCGCTTCCCCGAGAACTTTACTAGGCTATTAATAGTCTTATAGGGTACCGCCGTCGAGGTTAGGGCGACTATTATTATTATTGGTTATAGCGCTAGCGATAGAACCGGTAATAGGGTAGACTCTACTAGTATAAGGATTATCGGGGTTTATAAGGGAGCCGGAATATTTAAATTAAGCGGCGTTAGGTTTTATAGAGTAGGTAATTCTAGGAGCCGGGCTATAAGCTATTCGACTACTAGGCGTTATCGCTTATCAGCGTCTTCTCTCGCGCGTTATCGGTCTATAAACTAGCGTATTTCCGAGTAGTATTCTTATATCAGGGCGAGCCTTACCTTAATATCGTTATATTCTTTATAGAAAGGGCCTAGCCTTACGTTTAAGGCTTAGTCGTTTTCTTTAAACCGTCGGTTTATCTACTCCGCGACCTATTTAATTCTAATAGGTTATTAGGCGGTAGTATTAGGATCCGAATCTATCGCTAGTATAGTCTATAGGTATCGCTAAGTTCTAGATATATAAACGACTAGTTATAGGTCGTGGCACTAAGTAAGGTCGTAATAATAGATTATCTAAAACTAAGGAAGAAAGCAGGAAAAAGGAGAAAAGTCTATAGCGCTAGGCTAGCTATAAGGTAACGATAACGTAGCGATATAGGTCTGTTAACTAAGCGCGTAGTCAGAAAGATCCGGAGTATAGCCGGATCCTTAGTATTAGGGTTAACCCGTAATACCTAACGTCGAATTAGGTCTTAAGCAGGGTAAAAACGTCTTTTAATATATAAACTATAAAGCCTTAATCTGTTTTCTATAGGTAGTAATCCTACGTATAACTTATATACACGTCTATAACGAATATAATACACTTATACAGGCCGCCTAGCCATTCCGACTCTTTTAGATCGTGAAAATTAATAGCTAGGGCCTCTCCAGGCTTTAACGGGTAAAAAAATAGTATCCGACTAATCTATATAGGCACTTAGGATTATCTATACGCGTTATAGTCGGCGGTACGCGGTCCTTTTATTCTTACCCCCTAAATAGCGTCGATAATCCTTATATGGGTATCCGTACTATAATAGCTAAGGCATTTTTACTACCTTTACGCGGTAGTCTGCTATAGTTACCGCGGTTATCGTAATGTTCTATACGGGTTAGCGCGTAAGTGCCGAGCCAAGACTATAAACACGGTAGCAGTAGCTATAGCTTCCGCACGCTTAATTATATACTAGCCGTAGATATCTAGTAGCTCATAGATAAGCCGGTGATTAGTAAAGCTAATAATAGTATCGTTTATAGTATTCTAGCGATAGCCTTATAGGCGTAGCTAGTATTCTGAGACTATACTAGTAACGAACTCCTTATAGTATAGAACGTTATAAAGACGTAATAGCCTCTTCGTGCCTTATAGGGATTATATATAAAGCTTAATATCTCCGTATCCGAGGATAAAATTCTTATAAGTACTTACTTAAAGTAATAATAGGTTATTAGTAGACGGCGTAGCAGCCGTCAAACGGTCTTAATTATTAAAGATATAGATGAATAATCCTAAGTCTAGGATCGTGTAGTATAATAGCGTTTTAGCTTAGTTAATAGAGAGGGATACCCCTTATTATAATCTTAATAGTATCGTCGTGCGAGGGCGCGCTACCCCCCCTTCTTCTAAGGGGTAAACGCCTTATCGCCTTGTCGCGGTAACGGATAGGTCTTTAAAACTATAATAACGGCCGGATTAGTAACCCGCCGATTTCATAGTATAGTAGTTATAATAGGCGTAGTATTATAGAGTTCAGCTGCCTAGACCTCCTTTATCTTCTTAGCGGTACTAGCCCCTACGGCTTCCCGCCTTTTCTATATCGCAGTGTTTACATAGCTTCTAAAGCTATAATTACGTATCTTTTTCTATAATCTTTATAATATCTTCACGGCCATATTAGGTATAAGGGCGTATATCCGGCCTTACGTACTAATAGGCGGGGGTAGAATAGGGGTTCTTATATATCTTATAAGGCCTCCTTATCACGGGAGGGATAGCCTTTATAGATATATTGCTACGAGGACGCTTTTTATTATCTTTATTATTGGTAGTATTCTTAGTATCGGGGAGGGTTTTATGGGTATCAAAGGTGCCTCTCCCAACTCTAGGCTTTATAGCGGCGGATTCTAGATTGTTTATATTACTAAGAACTGCCCTTAAAGACTTTACAAAGTCGTTAATCGTTAGCTTATTTTCCGTAATCTTATCGTAGTTAGTTATTAAGTAAATTACTCTATTCCTAGGCGATAGGTTTAATAGCTTTTAACACGTTTTGGGCCTAATAGTCCGCGCTTAATAGCTTTAAAACGCTTATATATTTATAGTATATTATTGCCATTTTCTAGCTTATAACCTACCTATTTATATTCTTAGGTAGAGCCTTTATAGGCGTAGTGTATTATTAATTTATAACTAAGGCTTCCTTATAGAGGTTTATAGGGGTTAGTCCAATATACACGTAGAGGAGAGTAATCTAGGCTTATAGGGTATTTACGGTAGGATTCTATAGCTAAGTAAGGAGGTTATATAATATAGTATAAACGGTCCTCTTAATATATAAGTGTACCTTATTAAATTCCTTTTACTATGTATTATAGTCTGCCTTTTCCTTGTGGTATACGCGGCGATTTTATAGGTAGCGCGTACGCCCCTTTTCGGAGAGGTTATCGATAAACGTAAGCGTCCTTATCGATAGTTCTTTTATTACGGCTATAGCCTTCCTATAAGCGGCCGTCTTCTTCTTACCGGCGGCTATAATAGCCGTAATAGCGGCGGCAATAGCGGCGTCCGTGGTATTAGTAGTCTTATTACTATTTAGCGTAACGGTAAAAGATATAGTGGCCGTGGTCTCCTCCGCCGCGTCTAGGTCTATGACAAGGGCTTTATATTTATGAATGTTAAGTAGTATAGGCTTAAGAAGTAGGTAGGCGTTAGCCTCCTTATCGCTTAGCTTTAGATTAACATAGTTATCTTAGTAAGAGTCAGATGTACCGTGTACGGTGTGCTCCTATATCGCCTAATCCCTTTAGTTAATAAGGGTAATAGCGGCTGCCTTCTACTTAGTATTAGATATATTAAAAGATATCTTTATTTATTTATCAGTTAATTAATTAATTAATAGGTAGGTCGGTAGATTAATTAAGAGCGCTTATATAAAGGTGATTACTTTTATAGTGGAATAGGGTAGCCTCATTAATATCTAATATTTAGGCGTTATAAAACGGGCTTATAACTATTATATATTAAAATAGTACTTATATAATTAAATTAATAGAGCAGAAATCTCGTATATATATATTATATTAAGTTATATCTATATAAGTCTTTTATACCCTTAATTTAGGTGGTAAAGACTCTGTTATGGATACTATATTATTTGGATCCTATCCGGTCTTTTCCGGTATCCTCCCTTGTTATATCCTGATGCCGGAGGTCCCCGAGATCCGAAGGCCTTAGTCAGGCATGGATCCCCTAAGGACCACATTGTGGTCCGTGTGCCTATGTATGCGACACGAAGCCCTTAGTCAGGCATGGTGTGCCAGGCATGGTCTGTGCCAATGGGACATAGGCAGGTACGTCGGAGTGGAATCGATTCCAGCCAACGAGGTTGTCCGCATGTTCCATCCCCCTTAAAGTTCGATGCACACCTTGCCGCCTTGCCGCAGACCAGGCACACATGCAGGCGACTAACCTGAGCAAGCGCCATCTCCTGCTTCGTACCTTGGTAACTTTGGGGTTCTGTCCTCTTCTGGTTCGCGTTTGCAGAGAAGGTCTGATTTTGGGACATGTTTATAGCCCGCAGCTTACAACGTACCTCCTGCAGGACGCTGTACTCCGTCCGTAGCTCTTCGTACATTGAAGTTACTTCGTACATATATACCTACTTAGGTACCTTAGGCAGGTACCCATCGGGCGCCTTCTCTGATTCCCTCTTCCATTTTTCCATTTCTCCCTCTTTCGCCTTTTTCTTCTTCCTCCCTCATTAACCTCCACCTCCTTTTCCTTTTTTGCGCTCGTCTGGTTTGCGTCCTTGGCCGTCTTCGACTGATTTATGCTCTTACTATCTTATCCCATTCATTCACTCATTCACTCACTCACTTTCTACACGTTATACGCAGGAGGCGAAAAGCACTTCGTCCGGATAAACATCTCGTATTATCCATCTTTTTTTTGCTACATGGCCTCTCGTTTCAACGCCTTGTTTCCAGTCTAAGATATTTCGCGTGTCTTATCGCGTCTTGTCCCTCTTTTAGCCTTCATTTATGATTTCTTTTAATGCCTTCGGCGCCTGACTTATATTGTACTACTCATAATGCCTGCCTGGCCTTTCGACGCTTCGACGACTCTTACGACATCTTACTGAGTGCTCCGATCAGCTTTCCTATTTCCTCCAACGTTCCAAGTCCACACATCAATGGTAACCGGTCTCGAGTAACCCAACCCGAATTGTCCGCTCGCTACCAGCTCATCCTTTGCCGTCCTCGTTATAATGCCGGGTATGCCGTCATATCGAAGCCAAATTACTGCTTGTCACGCTTAACAAGGCTAAGGGTCTGCAGCTAGCAGTGTGACCGACTATTTGAAGCTATTTTTCGGCATCTACGCCATTGTCATTGTTCCTCCTTTTACTGAGTCTTTGCCTCTTTGGCACCGCCCCTGCTGCATTTAGCGTTTGCGTTTGGCCGTCCACACTCTCTGCCTCGCCGGCTCCGCCAGGCTCGGCGGCGTAACTCATTGCGTCGAACGCTCCTACTTGGTGCCCTTTGCCAGAGCCTCCGCCTGGTCGGGCTAGGACAGGTCCGCGGACATATACTCCTTTGCGGCTGTTGTTGTCTCCACGGGCTGCCCTCCCTCGTTGTTCTCTAGGAGCCGTTTATAGCACGAACATGTCTGCATCATTCCCACCTCACCGAGAGCCTCTCAGCGAGAGATCCCAGTCACAAACCAACTCCCTCGCCATTCGCATCGTTCCCTACAGTCCTCCTCGGCCTAGCGACTCACCGAGTGCTGCCTCACCCTCCGCCGCTCAGCACGACAAGTACGATGCACGCGCAGACGACGACTTTGCACATGAACACTTTACTCCCTCCGATGTTTACGGGTCGGCGCCTGTGGTACCTTCGCCAGGATCAGGCTCGCCCATGTCGCCGCGTCCATTGGCAGCTGTCAGAGGGCGTCCTGTCGTTTCAAACCCGAAAGTGCGGTCCGGATCAAGGCCATGTCATCCAAGCACTCATGTCACCCCTGTCTCTGAGGCCCCAAGCGTTTCGTCCCGCAACCCCACTGCCACCTCCGACATCTCCGACGTCTATGCGTTGTCGGGCCTCGACCGAGAACAGGGGCTTGCGACAGCCCCAAGACGTCCCCTGTCCCGACGTCGCAATCTTGTCAATATTCATCCCAACAGCAAGACTTTCAGCCTCCAGCCCCAGACCCAGCCTGCCTTCCAGGACGCTTTCAGACCCTCGTCTTTCTCTTTGTCCACCGCGAGTTCCTTTGAACGACTCTCCTCCTCCGATTGGCCTAGCGAGGGTCGTCCGAGTTCCCCTTTGACGACTCTGCCGGAGCGTAGCGCATCCCCGTCCACGCCAGCGTCGTGTTCCGTTGAATGGACCGCAGATCAAAACCCGTCGCCCTGCAACTATCGGCTAGTCGGTGGGCTCCGCAAAGTCCCCGAGACTCCCGGCTCGAAGCCGGGCTTCTCTACTGACCTGCCGCAGGCTTCGTCGTCGCCTTCTTCCCATTCGCATCTCCCTGCCTTGCTGGAAACCGAAGCCGTCGATAGGTCCCCCTACCCCTCGCTGACAAACAAGGGGTCTTTCCTCTCCTCGCATTCCGTTTCAACGAGGTCTGAGACGACGAACTACAAAGTCTACGCTGCCTCCTCACCTGTTGCTGTTGACACAGCAGTCGAAGGCGACAGCTTGCCACCTCCGTCCTCCAGCGATTCCAATTACCCAATCCTGGGCCGATCCTCGCCGCCTGTGCCCTCTACGCCAGACTTCTCCCAACCCGATACCGCCGCAAGCGACGCGAATTACGTGCTCCACGGAGACCCATCACCCTCGTCGCCGTCCTTGGTCGTAGCCGCGCGCCGTCTTCGTCCTGAATTCTCGCAAGAAAGCCTAGTCGTACCGCCACTGCGGCCCGCCAAGAAGAAACCGTCGTCGGAAACATTGGCGTCGTCCAAGTCCCGCTCAAGCAGACTCTTTCACAAAGGGTCTCTGACGTCAATCTCCAGTGTTTTTGGTGGTCAGGAAGCCATTCGCTCTGTTCTTCTGGGCCCCATGGCCTGGCTATACCAGCCCGAGGTTCCGTCCGTCGCCTCTACCCAACCGCAGCACCCTCGGCCTTCGGCTTCCTCCTCCGCTCCTCCGTCCCAGCCGGCCCCATTCCATATGGTATCCCATCCCCGCCAGTGGAGCTCGCAGCTGTCCACTGTTGCTTCAGAAGGCGAAGGGCCAAGCGACCTCACGTCTCGTTCCTCCTCACTTCTATCCGCTCCAGACCGCCGCAGCAGCGGATTCTCACCAAGCCATGCGCGAGAGATTCCCAGGGTCTCCTCCCGATTTCCTCTCGACGCCAACCAGCACGCAAGATCGAAACAACCGGACGTCCTAGTCGAGGAGCCGATGCCGACTTACAACCGTGCTGGTATGACTTTGCTGGTGAAAGACCAAGACGAACATGGCGATGGCTTAGCAGACTTGCATCAACTTCACAATCGGCCATCGCGTCGGAGACTGTCGAGCTTCTTGTCCAATACGTCCTCGGATCGCCATCTCCACTCATCTGGAAGTTCCAGGACGAACAGCTTCAATACTTCGTCTCTCCCAGCCTGGGCGAGGTGCGTTTAAATGTCTACATCTGATGATACTTGATGGTCGTCAGCTAACACCGAATTTTGCACAGATTGTATTACGGTAACGGCGAGCCGCGCCGTTGGCTTCGGCAAGCAACGTCCCTTGAATCAATGGCCGGCTACTACGACAACAGCCGCCCCCCGAGCTCTTTCCGCAGCGCCTCCCCGAGCATGGAGAATGCGTCTTTGCACATCCACACTCGGAGGCAAACGCCAACACCCCAAGAGGCTCCCTGCCCGCCGGCGGCGCCGCCGCGGACGCTGGTAACAGAGCCCGAGGAGATCGTCCAGATACCAGTAGGAAGCCCCCAAGTGCAACCGGCCCTTTCAAAACAGACCTCCAGCATCTGGTCACCGCACCTGGCCCGTGACCAGCGGGCCTCTCGGTACAGCATCTGGGAGCCGCCCTCTGTCTATTGGTCGGGTGAGGGCGGGTTCTTGGGAAGGCGGAATATTCAACTTGTTTTATTCGTGGTGGGCTTCATCTTTCCTTTCGGTGAGAGAGACTCCCTTTCCCCCTTTTCCCTTATTTCCTTATGTTCTTGTCCACCCGAATGACCTTTACCAGAATTTTCTGCTAACGACTATATCTCTTATAGCTTGGATGATAGCGTCATGCCTTCCCCTGCCTCACAAACCGCAGCCGGGCCAGTCGAATGTCCCCGGGGAACTGGCACAAATTTATCACGAGCCGTCTTATGGCGAATTGGAGTATCGTAGCAGTCGGTGGTGGAGGAATTTGAACCGATGCATGTCCATACTGGGACTACTCATTATTGGCGCAATTATCGCTCTTGCCGTTGTCGGCGTCACTCGGGGTTGGGGAAGGAACTCAAGCTGAACATCATATCCGGATATTAACGAACGAGTACGACCAGTCGAACCGACTATCGAGTGATGAAAACCTCACGAAACAAGGCAACCATGTATACGATTTATCTGACACGGTCTCTTTCTTTTTTTTTTGACTTACGAATACGCCGATCTTTTCCTACATCTCTTCGAATGACATGAGTAGCACGACACAGCCGCCGGGGCAGTAAGGGGGCATACGATACATGCCATCCGGGGCACGATTACGACTTCTGGCTACTCTTCTTTTTCAATACGTTCAGCAAAGCATCAACTTTTGCAAGATCAATCATTACGACATTTTGTCTTTCTTGGTTCGGACAGTCCAGAGTTTCCTGTCTTGCTGGACGTGGTCTTGCACTGGAGAGACTGCATTCTTCTGGCGTTGTGGGCCGTTTTTGTGCTCTCCACCTGTATCATGTTGTAACTATTCTAATCTTATTATATATTATACGGAATCCAAAAGAGACATGTCTGAAATCAACTCCAATGCTATGCGTTGTTTTCCTGTTGGAGGGCCCACTGTGATCGTTTCTTACGACTTAGTCCTTTTGTAAAGTCGGAAGACAACTGCATGTGGCCTGTCCTTGCCTTGGCTTCTAAAAGCCCATCCATCCAATGCCACCGCTGTGAAAGGACCACTGTGAAAGGCCATATGCTTGAGTGGAGCTCTGACTCTCCCAAATATGAAATGGTCATTTCCCACGTAATTCTTGTAGAACCTCGTCTAGTTCTCGCTCAGGATCCGCGGCAACGCCAAGGACCGGTTCTCGTCCCGAAATGCTGTCCTGGCTGGAGCTGCGGGCCAGTTTGACCCCTGTCTTCTTCTGTCGTGCGCCTAGTCGTTGCTTGAGTAGCTGCTTGCCAGGAGAAGCGAAGAAGCCCATGGACAAGATTACTCCAATAATGACGTAAAAGTATACGCGCGACCACACGAAGATGGATCCGGAGAAATTGAGGATGAGGAATGGAGCAACAACAAATGACATGGCTGTCTGTGTTACCAGCACGCATACGATGTCATAGTACCGTTTCTGGGGAGTCGGAAGGCCGGATATGGGGTCCAAGAAGAAGGGACGAATGTAGCGGCGGAAATCTGCCAGATCATTATTAGCAGCCGATCCATTACACCACATTCTGTTGAGATGGAGAAATTGAAGTCGATGAGTGCGGAGGATGGGCACGATCAATGTCCGGCGACTCACTCTTTGCCACGGTTTGGATCAGACTGGCAAGAACAAACGAGAGGTAATATCCAGGATAAAAGCCATGCCAGAGCGCACTCGTGGTGAAGGTGATGAGGCTCGCCCGGAAACCTGGCTTCTTGCCCTTGGGTGTTACTCGCAAGTAGACATAGTTTCTAAGCCACTGGTTCGTGTTCATATTCCAGCCAGCCAGGTAGCCACGGATATTGGACGCGAGTTCAACGCCCCAAGGGTCGATGTTCTGCAAACGGTTCCATGAAACCTTGCCGGTGACTGGATCAACGCCATTGTAACCCATGCCGGTGAGAATGCAAGCACCCTCTGCCAAGGACCATGCGCCATAATACTTAATCCGAGCCGTAAACCCGACACAGTATAAGAACCAGAGACGGCGTAAAAACCCGCCTTCGGCGAAGGACGGCTCAAATAGCCGCACCACATCATACCTAGCGGACATTGGCACGAAAAGACCGATCCACATCAAGCCACTGAGAGCTTTCCAAAAAGCCGGAGTGCCGCTGCGGGGGGTTTTGCCTTTCCTCCTCACGGGCGGTTTCTTAGATGCTTCAATGTTTGGGGGCAGCTCGAACATGGAAGTGTCGAGCCACTTGCGGTACTCGGCGAAATCGAAGGCAGGTCCGGCAAAGAGGGCCGGGAAGAAAAGCACCCAGCCCGCATAGTCAAGCAAGCTCGGCAGCTCGCGCAACCTCCGATCCTTCTGAAAGTCGCTCAACCGATCCTCCGGGAGCTGCCCGTCTGCCACGTTCCAGCAGAAAGCACTGAGTTTCATGACGAGGACCATCTGCGCCCCCGTGACATCGACTATCCCTGGGTCGCCTGCAAGCTGCCGGTATATCTGGTTGACGGACAGGTGCGCCATGACGAACAGGAAGCCAATCCATGGCATCAGGGAGCTGCGTCGAAGGTATTTGGCGATACAGTAGATGCCTGCGGAGCTGATGAAAAGAGTTTGGAGCCCATCCCGCAAGTCAAAGAGTCCGAGGAGATAGAAGGCGGAAATACTGCATTGGCGGGATATTCGTCAGCCAGTGATATTCCCTAACGCAAACTAGCCCCTCGGTTTTAGCATTCTGAGCTTTGGTGGCATACCATATACTGAAGATGTTTTTCTCGTCGGGCCGCGAGTCCGGGATGCATTTCAGAAGACCAGCCAGTGGATATGAAAGGAGCCAGGAGAAAACCAGTTTTACTACCAGAAAGCAAGTTAGAGTAATTAAGGCAATCTAGGCGGCGAATCGAGAAAACGAAAAATAAAGATACAGAGCGAGCGTATTAGACTCGACGACACGACTTACGATAATCCGCCGATATGCCGCATCTCGACGATATCAGTTCGAACGCTGAGGTCAGTGTTAATACCGTTGCTCATGGGCTGGAGCATCTTAGGCAGTCCTTACGCCGGTGGATGAATGTCAACATGATGGAATCGCGGGGACTAATCCGCATCGCACCGAAGGAGTAAGTCAACGGGCGTCGTCGGTCAGAGCAGAGCCGAGTGCACCAAGTCTGCGCGTTGCGAAGCAGATCAAGCCATAATCGTAGGGAAGGCGGTGTTACGTCAAATATCAGATGCCCTCAGCCACCTTATCGAGGTGTGATAAACCATATTATGTTAGACACGTGGAGTACCTTGTTCCTACATATATATATACTTATTTCCCCTAGTTTTCCTTTATAGTTAGATATCCCCGTGAAGTACCACGAACTTTACTTACATAAATATATATATATATATATATATATAATCCTGTATTTTTATTTATATTCTAATAGTTATAAGCCCGGCGCTCTAGTAATACGACTCTATTCTGGAAGATCTAATAGCTTAAAGCCAGATATCCTATTTTAAAGCCTTAAGTCTATTATGGCTAGAGCTATTCTGCTAATAACGTCCGCTTACTTTTATTTTATTTAATCGTTTTATTATTTGTCTTATACTATTATTTAAAGCGTTTAGTTTAGTTAATTAACCTATCTGGTTATTCTATTCTACCATTTTTTATTAGTATAATAATAACTTCTATAGTAGTAGTGTCTATAATAAGTCTTATAACGCTTACCTCGCTAAAGGACTGTCGTCCTTAGATTAAAGCCGTAAGGACTATCGCGTACTCCTATAATATACCACGATTATACGAGCTTATTATTCTAACTATAAGGCAACCTATTAATAAAGGCACGTGACCTTATCGCGAGTTTCGCGTATAAGTGCTTTTAGGACGATAGGAGTAGTGGAAGTAAAAGGACCGGCGATAAAAGGAGGAGTAGTAGTAGTCTAATATAACGCCGGAGTATAAGGAGTAGCAGTAATAGTGGAAGCGGGCGATTCTATAAGGGCGCTATAAAAATCGCTACGTATAATCTAGAAAGTAATATCTAGCTAGTATAACCAGATAAAGACGTTGTGGCACCAGATCGTTAAGACAATAATTAGATAAAGAGGTTAGTCTAGCTTAACCACGAAGTATAACCAAAACATAACTATTAACACTATAACCTTTCGCGAAGATATATATCGATAGTCACTATTCTAATTAGGGTAACGTAAGTTAAACTACAAAGATACCTTAAACGTAGAATATGTAATTATAAAAGAGGATGATAATTAAATGATAGTCCCTTAATAGGGATATCCTATGTCTATCCCTTAATGTATAAATAAGAAGTGGATCTAGTAACTTTAGAAAGGGGTTATATAACCGACTACTAATACTACACTGAAGCCGTATTTACGCGGTTATAATACGGCCCTAGTTATCTTAATTACACTCTTATAGCGTAGATAACTCCTAAATAAAAGCAAATACAGGTAAATAGACGAAGTAAAAAGCTATTATATACTCTTATACCTCTAGTAACCCCGTCCCCCAAGTATATTTAGTTAGGGACCCTTTTAGCTTTAGTTCCTCCGTATATACCGTTCCCTTACTATCTTTATTAGCTATATCCTTAAGACGTCCCCTATTAAATCCCCCGTATATAGCTTTACTTACGCTTTTATAAGGTCCTTCCCCTAAGTATATGGTTAGGCGTGCTAGCCTTCTTAGCCTCTTAATTAATAATAGCCTTATTAGTATTCTATTTAAGAGCGGTATTTGTTTTTTATGTATTTATTACACGCGTGCAGCCCTAAAGCGAAAGCGCGGCGCCTATCGCCCTAAAGACTAAAGGCTAGTAGAAGATAGATACAGTGTAACTCGCTGCTAAATAAAGAAAACCCTCCGTATTAAGTTACCTAATAAACCTTATGAGGTAAAAACCAAAACAGAATAACTAGACCGCAGGAATTAAGGTTTACGCCCTATACCACTCCGCCGAGGCTCTTTTAGTTACTAAAATATAGGCCTCTAAAGCCTATATACCTCTTTTACTACCGAATAATAGCGGCAAAGATAGTGGTAGGCCTGCTAGGGCTTCCCGTAGGGCTCTTCGTTCGTTTTTATATAAGGGGTAAGAAATAATAAGGCGTGCTGTATCCTGTATAGGGGAGTTAGATCAGAAATAGCGGTCATCGCCGCTGTTTTAGGCCATTTTTTAGTGGGTTTTTAGGTAACCGAAGCCGGTTTTTAACTAAATAAAAGCCGACTTTAACCACCTAGGGCCCTAAGTTAGTAGTGGTTTTCGGGAGAAACGGAGGTTATCGCGGACTAGGCGCCTATAAAGGCGGCCTAAGCACACCGATTTACCCCTTTTCTCCGCCTCTTCTTCGTTGTACTATAAGGTTTTCTAGTCTTGAATAAGGGCTTTATTTACCCGGCGTTTTAGGTAGCTAAGGGTAACTAAGCTAACGGATTTAGTAGTCTTTTTAGGGTTTAACGCCCCTTTAGCCACCTTATCCGCTAGTTCGTTCCCTTTTATCCCCACGTGCGAGGGGCACCACTATATAGAGACCGAAGTGCGTAGTTATTTAAGGCGTGAGATAAGGTCTTTAGCTTTTATAGCCTACTATAAGGAGCGCTAAAGCTTCTGAATAGCCGCCCATGAATGGCTAAAAATATAGCACTCTAGGGGCCTAGGCGACTGCTCTAGGGTAGCGTAGAGGGCCTGAAGAATAGCGTATAATTCAGTGTCCGCGACTTCGGCAGCGGCCCCTAGGTTAAGGCCTATAGCTTTACAGGGCCTACCGGTATTAGTCCACTATATTATAGCGGCTGCAGCTTATAAGGGTCCTATAGGAGGCCTAGTAGGATAGCCTAAGGAGCCGTCGGTGTAGAAAATAATAGCCTATTCCCCTAGGCCTTATTGAATTTTAGCGAGGGCTTTAAGGTGGGCTGTTTTCTAATCGGGTATATTAGGGCCGGTATCTAATATAGGCCGGTCTTTAAAGAGGAAAAAGGGTCTTAAGTCCGCTATAGGTTCCAAGGCCTAGGGGCCTCCTACCTAGCCGACGGACTCTCGATATCCTAAGACTAACCTACTAAAGCCACCGTTTCTAGGCCTAGCCTATATAGCTATATAGTAGGCTATAGATTCTGAAGAAGGGCGAGGTTTAAGTTTTTATCCCCTGGCTGCCTTTGAACGCTAGCGAGGAGCTGGCGTTTAATAGGGTGATTCGGAAGGAATTTTAAGGTCCTAAAGGGATATAGCCTATTAGACCTGGTTAACCGAACCGTTGCTGGGGGAACTACTGCTTCGAGTTCTAAAGGCCGTAAGGGGGCCCCCCTAAAACTACCTAGGGCCCTGACTAGAGCGCGGTATTATACACGTTTTAGGCGGTCTACGAGGTGTTTTTTTAGTGATTTAGGGTCCTACTAGAGCTGCGAGCTAAAGTTAGCTAAAGAGGCTATATAGGCTATATATAGCTGCCGTAGGGCCTTAAAAGAAAGGCCCCTCTACTAGCTAGCTAGCCGGTGTAACCTGTTTAGGGCCCGTAATGCTGAGTTTAGGCGTTTTTCGACGTGGAGTCTAAAGGATAGCTTAGAATTAAACTAGACCCCGAGCCATCTAATAGCACCTAGCGGGGGTTTAACTAGGTGCCCCCCTATAGTGACCGGAGCGTCTTCTTTAGAGCGTCTTTAGTGGAAGTGAATAAGCTCTGTTTTTCGGTGGTCGAAAAGGACTTAGTTAACTTTTACTGCGTCGAAAAGGGAGGCTGCGGCTTTTTCTAGGGTTTTATAGTTTTTCCTAGTCGACGTAGACGCTATAGATAGCTGAAAATTGTCGATATAGGATAGCTGAAGCCCCTAAAAATCCGGTCCCGCTATCACCTTCCTAATATATATTAGGAATAGGATAAGGGAAACTGGAGATCCTTATAGAACCCCTATATTTAGGGGGGTGGGCTGCTAAACCTGCCCCTCGAAGGCTAGTTCAATACGCCTGTTTTCTATAAAAGAGGCTTCCTATTTAACTAGGTTCGGAGGTAGTTAGAGGTCTTCAAGGGTCCTAAGTAGCTGGGGACGGGCGACGTGATCGAAGGCTCCTTTAATATCTAAAAATAGCGTGGAAATCACCAGATTTTAGCGTGATTTACGCTGTTTTTTTAATATAGTAGAGGAGGAGGAGGGCTATATCGATAGTAGAGCGTTATTTTCTCCCTCCTTTTAACTAGGGTATAGAAGGTTATCGCGGGTATTAGCTATAAAGCTAAGCCTAGCAGCTATAACCCGTTCGAGTACTTTACCTAAGCAGTTTAGAAGGGCTATAATCCTATAAGACTTAGGATCTAAATAGTCTTTCTTCCCTCGCTTTAGCAGAATAACCCCGAGGGCTTCTTTCTAGCAGGTAGGGTAGTACCCTACGGCAAAAAACGCTAAGTAGGCCTATAAAAAGGGCCCGGGAATAGCTTTATAGGCCTATTAGATCGGGTTTAAACCTGTCCTATTAGGTCTAGGGGCTTTCCCTTTAGCGGCTCTAAAGATAGCTTGTTATAGTTCTATAGCCTAGAGACTAGCTACTCCCACGGTCTTCTAAGGCCCTTACTACGTGATCTAGTTAGGCTGTAGGGGCCGTTAGAGGAGTTACAGGGGCCTAGGCCCCCCAAAGGGCCTATAGAAACAGGGGCTTCAGGGACGTTAGTGGCGGAAGGTACTAGAAAAAGGGTCTAAAGTACGGCATTATATTTATCTTTGAAGGGATAGGCCTTTAACTTCGTAGGCATTAGAAGCGGTGGAATTTTCGCATTAAGGCCTCTCTTCGTATAGTAATAGGCCTTAAAAACCTCGGGGCCTTCGGTGTAGGCTAGGAAGGCCTTCTAGTAGTCGTTCTTTACTATTTTTACCGCCCTATACTAGGTGTTCCGAGCTTCTTTCTAGGAGGTTTCTAAAAGCGCTGACTAGGTAGCCGAGGCCCGCTTTTTAGACGTCTTTCCCAATACCCTAAAAGCCCTGCTAGCTGATTTTCGTAGGGCCGTTCGCTCTTTAATCTACTATGGCTTCGAACGCTCTACTACCCTTAACTTAGACACTATAGCCTAAAACGCTAGGGTAATAGTATCCGAGAGGTAACGACCTAAAAAGTCCTAGTCTAAGGCGTTAATAGTCTATTAGAGGTCCTGGTCAAGGCTAGGTTCTAGGCTCTTTAGGAAACTAGAAAACAGGTCCTAATCTGCTAGCTGATAGTTATAAGCCGGCGGGAGAG